ATTGAAGTAACACAAATGTACTATTGATAGATCCACTGTAGCCAAACGACCGTACACTAACTCGATGACTGCGTTTGTTGGTCTTATATACCACCAGTACGTAAAAATTCTAATCTAAAGTATTTCCGTAATGAGTTGATAATTACTTTATGCGTCAACCAGTTTATCTCACATTTCCGTTGCCTATCTCAACATTTCTTCGTATTGTGTTTTGTTTGGTGATCAATGACTCAAGTACGATTTGTATAACACAAAAATGCAATTTAATATTTAGAAACATATCAGTTTATCTCACATTTCCGTTGCCTATCTCAACATTTCTTCGTATTGTGTTTTGTTTGGTGATCAATGACTCAAGTACGATTTGTATATCACAAAAATGCAATTTAATATGTAGAAATCACTATAATTGACCATTCCTATGTTATTCATTGAGTAGCTAGGTACTGTAATAATCTACTAATAGCAGTAATATCATGGATACACTAGATGTACAACAACATCTGAAAAAGATTCACCCCAGTCTAGAAAATAATGTTTATGCAGCTAATAGACTGCCTATGTATACCCACGTACCAACGTATATAATATGTAATTTGGATACAGATGATAAACCAGGGTCACATTGGGTAGCTTTATATATCGATACGAATGACGTCGGTCAATATTTTGATTCATATGGACGATCACCTGTACGATATCATCTAGAGTTTTTAAAAAGGAATTGTAAAAGATGGAACTGGAATGTTGATAGGATTCAGAATGAGTGGACTTCAGTTTGTGGCGAATATTGCTTAATGTATTTACTATATAAGTTTCAAGGATGTTCAATACATAGTTTTACGAGTATATTTACAAGGAACACATTGTACAACGATATTTTAGTGGATAAGATGTTTCGCTCCTATTTTATAGATAATAATTAATAAGATTTTGTATTTTATAAATAAAAATTGTAACAAAATTATGTAATGTGTTTTATTGATGATTCAGATTAGCGTTGTATAAACAAAGAATTATAATAAACAATAGCACTGATATAGTCGACGCACACGCTGCAATGAGGGTGATTAATGAACAATAGAACAATAGAAATAGGAACAATGGGACGCTAATGACGGTGGAGGCCCTTACCGGATATCAATTAGATATTAGCTAATTGATCTACACATCTCCGGAACCGTGCATTCTACACAAAAATGGACCGCGGATTCGTGATCAGAGCATGCCAAAACCTTTTTTTTTTTTTTTTAGGATCGGGCGTCGACGAACGTCGTTGAACCACGTCTGACTCAGGTGGTCTAGAAGTGGTACAACTACACTACTGATGGGCAGCGGCATCTTCCTGATAACAACTCAAAATAATAATATATTATCGTTCCTATTATAGTACATATGTTACTAGAAATCTATGAAATCAGTTATTATATAGAATTCCTAGGAATTTTAGATAATTCTTAAAATGAACTGGATGTGTGGAATATAGTATTATACACATTTCAGCTCGGACCAGCCTGACTCGGATCGGTTAGGTCAGGAGCTCCGCTACGCTACTTTAGTCCTCGTGATATTTTTAAAAAATAATTGTCCAGAAATAGATCTAGTCTGTCTGAACAATAAATCAGGTATATTTTGCCCAATTAATTGATAACCCGGGGTTATAATAAATTTAAATTTTATATTTCGTTGGTACCGTTTAGGAATTGTATACAATAACCAGAAAATACATTATCGAAATGGTACATAGTTATAAAATATTCTCTGATATATTTATTTGCCACATTTTCTAAATAGGCTCGGCATTATATGGGTTGTGACGGAAATGCGTGCTCATATTTTAATACCGTTTCAGTCCATGGAAATGAAAACCTTTCTTCATAAAACTAGTCAATTCCCAAAAAAAAAATTGTACAAAAATATATAATCTATATAGGCTAGATCTTAGTAGTAAACAGAGATATAGATATTTATAAATTAAACACTTAATGTAACACAACTACTTATAGCGATATCCAGGGAAAAATAAAATAAAGGTTACCTACTTAGAAAGGGAGGGTCTGCCCACAGAGAGCGAGATAGTAATACATAAGTTAGGCTTCAAGTAGATATTCGGAGTGTGGTCGCCATCTTTATCTACAACTTCATGGGCGCTAGTACTCCTCGGTTGACAGATTTCGCACGAGTGGGCTCTCTTTTCCTGTATAGGACAGTTACTATACTCTTTGGGGTAGGTATTAGTGTTCTGTGAGTATAATATCCGTTATGCCCGGGCTACACTAACGAGAAATGCCGTTGATTATCGCGTTGATGGGCGTTGAATGTAGGTGTGGCCACCACTTAACGCGATAATTCTACAAAGGCAAGAACAATGCCGTTTCCCGTTGAACGATAACTCGAGTGTCGGTACATCAAAGAGATTAACGCATGAATTAACGCGTTGAAGCGGCCACACTACGTTTGTCTCATTGTGCACGGTGAGCGCAACGGAGTCGCACGTATGGCTACTATAGAGTGGAATAATGAAAAAGTTATTACGTTTTTTTAGATTCTGCAAAACGGAATATTAACGTAAAGTGACCATAAGTCCCGTTTTGAACGGGACTGTTCCTTTTCTCGGTCACCTGTCCCGTTGTCCCTAAACAAAGCTCCGGGACGCAAAATAGTCCGGTTGTCCTAAACCGCGAGAAAATTTAAAACTATGAAGTTCGTCAGACACGAACGGTGCGAAAGCGGGACCGACCAAAAAATAACCGAATGGGATAATTTCAAAGTTTTCGCAGAAATTCGTTGGGTGATTCAAACATTTCTCACCAACATTCTCAACATAAATTCTCTTGCATTTTAATCGAATATATTTTATGTATACCTGGTACAAATGCTCCAGTAGAAAAAGTATTTTTCTATAATGAATAAATTGTGGACGTCTGAAAAAAAATCACTTACAGGTAACAGTTCTAAAGGCGATGTTGACAACAAAAATCAATGTAAAAAAAAAACTTGCCCTTATTTAAAATCATCACCAACTTTATTAAAGCAAATTTGTTCCACTGACAAATAAAATTAAAAAATATGTGATATTTAATAATTACTCTCTGAGGAATTTTGCTTTGATGAAGCTGCTGAACTGGTGATTAATTTTTATTTTTCACAATTTGTTAAAATAAAAATAATTATAATTAATGCGATTATAATTATAGTGAACACTTATTGTATAAAGTTACAGATATTAAATAAATAACATAATTTTTTTTTATTGTTAACCTGCTAACTGGGGAGTATAAATAAACCCATGTCCCGTTTTGAGTTAATAAATAAATGGTCAGTTTACTTTAACGCCGTTCAACGGCATTGAAGTTGAAATGACGTTGACCGACCCAAGTGTGGCCACTCAGTTTATCGCGTTAAAATTAAGGCAATAATTGTTGCGTTTATGGGCATTGACGTTTCTCGTTACTGTGGCCCCAGCATACTGATGTGACGAGTTGGATTTTTTTTGACTCGAGTTGCTCGAGTTCATATGGCTACTGACTCGAATCGTAACTCGAGTTGACTCGAATCGATGTCTGCTGTAGGGAAAGAGAGGCGACTCGGCCGACTCGGGGACCACGAGTCAGCTCGAGCTCGAGACTGATGGTTATAATAATGATGTTATTTTTTTTTAAAACATTGCCTTACTTTAGAATAACATTATCCTGTGTTGTAATGACGTTTTATAAACATAAATTTCACGCGGACAAACACCCAAATACCGAACAGCTATCTGTGGGTCACACAAATAGTTGTCCCGTGTCGGAATCGAACCCATGACCCCCGACGCCGAAGCCGATAGCCGATACCTTGGCAACTGCGCCACGGAGACATCAATTGTGATATTATGATATGGCTGCTCGAGTCGATTCGCAACACGAAACTGTTTGTACTCGATTAAGTTGATTAGCAATCGACTGCATATATTATCATATATGTACGAAAGAAGTATAGCAGGTATTTGCAATCAAAAATATTTATTTATTAAAGTACACTTAGAGATATTAATGGCATCTACTTTTCAGTGTTTAAAAAATCCTTAAACTAATAAATATTACAGTATTTTAACACAGTTATTAAACTAGGAACATAATGTTGTTATACAAGGTGGCCCATAAGTCGTTAGAAATGTAAATTTCGAATAAAATACAAAAGGTCAAACAACACAAATCACAACGGTATGTAGCTATGATCCAGGACTTTTTTACACCAGAGTTGCAGAATTTTCCAGGCTTCAATACGCGGACCTGGTTTCAACAAGATGGAGCAACTGCCCATACCTCTAACGTAGCTATGCCGGTCGTCCGTCAACTTTTCCCTAATAAAGTGATCTCTCGAAGAGGAGATATTCCTTGGCCACCACGTAGTCCAGATCTGACCCCAATGGACTTTTTCTTATGGGGTTATCTTAAGACTAAAGTGTACGAAACCAACCCGCGGACAATTGACGTCCTGAAAGAAAATATCCAAAGAGAAATGGCAAACATTACAGAGCTTACTTGCCACGCAGTGATGGATAATTTTAAACGTCGCTTACAGGAGTGCCGCGATCGTAACGGATTACATTTAGATGATGTAATTTTCAAAAAATAATTCCCATTTTATAAGGATTATGACAAAATAAAAACCTTTTTCATAATGTCATTAGTTTTTTTTTAATTATTTTTTTACATTTACCAAGGGACTTATGGGCCACCCTGTATAATACTTTTATACATATAATAAAAACTAAGACTAGCAATGTTTAAAAATCTCAATTACAACAACAAAACAAAATTAAAATTTCGAAAAAAGTCTTTCCTTAGAACAAAATAACTGTTTTCCTCTAATACCTATTTATAAAATCATCACATAACATAGGAAAAATATATTTCAATAACATTGAAATAAGATGTATATTAATATAAGTAGGAAGAAAAAAAAATATAACATAATATTACTTCAATATGTCCTCTTTTAGGTACAGAAAGAATTTAAAAATAATATTTGGTCAACTTTTTTTGGCATGAGTCTGTTCCTTCTTTGATTCGTAAGTAAACCAGCCTTTGAAAAAAGTCGTTCCGACGGCACTGAGGTAGCGGGAATGCATAAATATTTATATGCCATCCGGCATAGGGTTGGATATACATTTTCCCTTTGCTTCCAAAAATGTATTGGGTTTTGCTATATGTTTTGCTATTTGCTATATATGGCAGATCTAGATATTGTCTTAAAACAATGGAGGCAGAAGAGATTGGAGTCTGATGCATGACAGTTTCACTTATTTTCCTGTCAAAGTCTTCCCATATATCCGAGTCATCGGCCTTATTTGAAATGGAAACTTCAGATGTCGAAGCAATGGCTCGTTCTGATGTTTGCCCCTGAACTGGCTGATATTGAACCAGTTCCTCTAATACATATTTAACTGCATTTTCTGCAGTACTAATGGTCCCAAATGCATTTTTTTTAAATCGAGGGTCTAGAATGGTCGCCTTTGCTGCAGTCCGATTCGATTCATAAACACCTAGTCTTTTGTCTATAATTTCCAATAATGACCTCTGTACGTGATTTCCAGGTTCAGTGCTTGGTCTCTTCTTTATTATAGCACTCTGTAATCCTCTTACTAGGGGAATAATGATAGACTGCGTCGGGTAAGACTCCCCAGATAATACGGTGCTGATTTTTTCCACTGGTTGTAAAAGAGCCACACAATCTTCCAGAATCTGCCATTCAGTTGAATTTAAGTTTGGCGGAGGTGAGTCAATAAGTGATAAAGTAGCGGATAGAGGAGCTTTGACTTTTAACAATCTTTCAAACATATAGAAAGTAGAGTTCCACCTTGTTTGTACGTCTTGTTTTAGTTTAATTATCTCTAAGTTCATTTGGCTCTGCATGTCTCTAAGTGTATTAGATGATTTAATACTCTGTTTAAAGTGGGTTACTATTGCACGACTTTTTGAAACAATATCCAGCACTGCAGCATTTTTTAAATGTCTATTATGGTCCGTCTCACTCTCACTATCTTTGCTAATGCAGTCTTTAACGGCAAGATTTAGTGTGTGTGCGACACAGAAATGGTTCCTTTTTTGTAAATAATCCTTGACTGCTTTTTTCATGCTCGAAGCATTATCAGTTACAATCGTAACTACTTTATCGTATATCTCCCACTCTGTTAATGTAGTCCGCAATGCATTTGCAATATTTAATGCAGTGTGATGTTGGGAGAGCTCAGTCGTCGACACTACCATAGAGTGCAGTTTTGAATTATTTATAAAATGTGCAGTTACACATATGAAGCTCTTTTGACTGTCTGAACTCCATATATCAGTTGTCAGAGCTATATGTTCCACACTTTGTAATTTGCCAATAACTTCTGAACGGCATATTTTGTATTTATCTTCCAGCATTTGGGTCAACTTTTTTCGTGATGGCAACACATAATCCGGATTTAATCTTAGCGAATACTTTTTAAAACCTTCGTTTTCAACTATTTGTAGTGGCTGCATATCTAAAACAATCAAATCTAATAGCGCATCATCTCCTACTTTTTGGTTGATTTTAGTAGGAGCAATTAAACGCATTTGTTTTGGGCGCTTCGGAGGGGGTTCATTGGACTCTGTGACATTTCGTATCTGTGATGGCGGCAAAATGATATCGTTTTGAATTTGATCGGCTTCTGCTCCGCTAATTAAAGAATTAGTACAAATCTGTTCAGGTACATTTTCATTTAGTTCCCTGGGTAAATTTTGTCCAATCGCTTCACTGTACTGAACTAAATGTCTTTTCCTTATATGTTTCACCAATGTTGTAGTATTTCCTACGTCTTTATATACAGATGAACACAATTTGCATTTAACTTTGTTATTATCTTTATTTTTATCAAAGAATTGCCAAACGACACTTCTTTTATTTGGCGCCATTACGAACAAAACACAAAACAAAACAAAAAAGTCCGGTCACGAGCGGATCGCTAACGGCCAATCAACTAATAAAATTAAACAACAAAATGTCAATGGTTTAGTTTTTAAATAATTGCTTAATTTATATTATAGCAAGTTATAGTTATAAATAGTTATAAATAGTAGTAGTTATAAATAAAATAAACGAAATAAATATAAAAGAAAAAAATGTCAATCAAAATAAACATTCAACGCAGTTTTTCATTCGCGCAATTTCGTTTCCGTTCCGATCCTGGCCGAGCGAGCCCGACTCAACCCGAGTTCTATAATCTATTCGAGTCGATACGAGTACGATGCAACACCTTACGAACGGCGCGCGCGCGTGTAAATCGTAACATAATAAATAATAATTCACTCAACTCGAGTTGATGCGAGTTGCAACGCCTAACGAACCGCGCGCGCGAGCCGCGTGTGTAACTCGGAACAACTCGCGTGTGTAACTCGGAACACCGCGTATAACGTCCGGTTTGCGTTCGGACGACCGAGTTGATTCGAGTTGCTTAAAACTGAACTCGAGTAGACTCGTTTAGGCAGCCCGTACACACTCAATCTCGATCGCGATCGGTGATCAAAATCAATGATCGCGATCCAGATTGATAGTGTACGAATAAGATTGATGGATTGATGCATTTGATCACAAAATATCTAGATATTTTGAAATCAAGATCGCAATCTGCTGATCGTGATCAAGATTGAACGTGTAAGCGCAGGATCGCATCAGTCTCGCTGTGCGCTTCAATAAAAATGGGTGACGATCACACGTGCTCCCCGTCACCGCCGATTGAATCAGCGAATGCACCTACTTTATTTCAATTGGAAGAAGATTTTATCATTCTTTTAGAAACTTTACCAGAACTGTGGAATCCCCGGCATAAATATTATACAAACAAATACAAGCGACAAGCTGGATACGAAAAGTTGCTCGACGTTTACAAGAAAATCAAGCCACAAGCGACTGTTGAAGATGTCCGTAAAAAAATAAATAGTCTCAGGTCCAACTTTAGACGAGAACTAAAGAAAATAGCTTTATCAAAAAGATCTGGAGCCGGTGTTGACGACTTGTACACACCAAGAACAAAAACATTCAAACAGCTAGGTTTTTTATACACTACCGAGACACCAAATTACATTCAACAGGTGATAATTTTGGTTTGTAACTTTTTAACCGAAAAGAAGGAGGTTCTCAATTCGGCTGTATTCTTTTTTTAATATTTGTTACCTAATAACTCCGTCATTTATAAACCGATAAGATAAAAAAAAATACATACATATACATACATAAACACTCACGCCTGTCACCCAGAGGGGTAGGCTGAGACTACGGACTTCCATTTGGCGCGATCCTGACACACCTCTCTCGCCTCTTTTACATCCATATATCTACGCATACACGCTCGTCGGTTAAGGGTACTCCTAATCTGGCCCATTTTTAATGTATCGCCGATTTGGTCGATAAACCTTCGTCTAGGGCGTCCCTTCCCGACCCTGCCGTTCACTTCTGCAACATAAATTTGCTTTGTCACTCTTTCCTCGTTCATTCTTTCTACGTGACCAAACCACCGAAGCATTCCTTTCTTAATCCTTGTCACAACGTCATCTTGCAAACCACACTTTTGTCTTATTACACTATTTCTCACCCTGTCATTCAGATTCAGCCCTAGCATACTCCTTAAGGAACGCATTTCTACAGCATTTATTCTACTCTCATGCTTCTTCTGCCAGACCCAACTTTCACTACCATACATTAAAGTGGGTACTAACACAGCATTATGAATTGCCATACGTGCCTTAGTTGACACATTCTGACTCCTCACAATAGCGTGTAGAGCACCATTCACTCTATTTCCTGCGTTCACTCGTCGTTCTATATCCTTATCATATTTACCATCCCTGCTAAATAAACATCCCAAATATACAAACTCATCCACTTGCTCAATCAACTCCCCTTCTATTCTTATTTCACATAAAGTTTTACTTTCTTCTCTTTCAAAAACCATCACTTTCGTCTTACTTGCGTTCACTTTCATACCCCTTTCTTTCAATGACCAATTCATTAAAGTAACCATCATTTGCAACTCGGCCGCCGACGATGCAAATATGACTTGATCATCGGCGTACAAAAGGCATTTGACGGTTGACTCACCCATTCTCAACCCACATTCTTCAACTTTCAAAGTTTGCAAACAACTGTCCATAAATAGGTTAAACAGCCACGGGGAAGCCACACATCCCTGTCTGACACCTTTATGAATGCCAAACCAGTCCGAGTAGACCCCGTTGATCCTGACACAAGCACTAGAGTCCCTATAAAGAGACCTTAATGCCTGTATCAAGCCAGCGCTCAACCCAAATGAGTTCAGTGTTTGCCATAACACGTTCCTGTCCACTCTGTCATAAGCCTTTTCCAAGTCCAAGAACGCACAAAAAACTTTCTGGTTTTTAGCCAAAAACTTCTCCGCTATCATGCGCATGGAAAAGACTTGATCCGTACACCCCATCCCCTTTCTAAATCCAGCTTGCACATCCCAAATTTTTCCATCAGTTTCTTCCATAACTCTTTCAATTAACACCTTAGCATACAGTTTACCCACAATGCTAAGCAAGCTGATACCACGGTAGTTTTTACAGTCCTGCTGCGACCCCTTTCCCTTATATATTGGGACTATAACGGCTTTGCACCAGTCTTCCGGTACCCGTTTCAGTTCCCAACATAAATTAAACAAGGTGTGCAGCAGGCCTGCAACCACACCCTCACCAGCCCTTAGCATTTCGAGTGATACTCTATCATATCCGGCTGCCTTACCTGCTTTCATGCTTTTCATTGCTTTCATTATTTCATCTACACTTATCTCCCTACCTCTCTCCACTTCTTCCGGAATTTCTATTTCACTTATTTCAGACGACTCTTCACTCTTAAACACGCTTTCAAAGTATTCCTTCCATCTCTTCAAATTCGAAACTTCATCATTCAGCATGCAGCCATTCTCGTCTCGTATAGCATTCATTCTAGGCTGTTTTGAATTTCCCCTGGCAGTTCTTACGAGCTTCCAGAACATTTTAATATTTTCCTGGAAGTTATCAGATATCCTTCTATCATTCTTATCTATCCTTTCTTGCTTTTTCCTTTCAACAACTTCTTTTACTCTCTTATTTATACGTCTAAAGTTTGCCTTTTTTCTTTCAATCTCATCATTCATACCGCCAGAGTTACCAGCTTTAGTTGCTAGTAAATCTAGCCATGCTCTCTTCTTTGCTTCAACTTCCATCCGTACCTCATCATCCCACCACAACGTATTACTTTTCCTTTCATTCGTTCTCTTACTTACACCGCATACTTCGGTGGCTGCATCCACCAAAACTTTCTTAATATTATTCCATACATTCTTCAATTCTAAATCATTCATACATAATTCATTCAACCCACTTATATTTTGCCTCAGTCTGCATTTATACTTCTCTTTCACACCTTCATCGTGTAACCTCTCTATTCTTATACGCTGTAACGCAGTGGTAGACACCAATGTCCGATGCCGCCAACGTCTGAATAGACCATTAATTCGGCATAAGACCAAGTAATGATCCGTCCCTACGTTGGACCCCCGGTAAACCCTTGTATCTACCACTGCGCTCCTCATTCTTTTATCCACAATTATAAAATCTATCATGCTTCTATCATCCCCTCTTTCCCATGTATACATGTGAATCCTCTTATGGCGAAAGAAAGTGTTCGCCACAAAAAGATTCTTTTCCACACATACGGTGAGGAGGTCTTCACCATTCTCATTTATTCTTTCATCGCCAAACGTTCCTAATATCCTTTCATAACCAGACCTCTTCACCCCCACCCTTCCATTAAAATCTCCTAACATAATAATATTTTCATTTTCCTTACATTTCATCAACACCAGCCTTACCATGTCCCAAAACTGCTCTCGGATATAAGTGGGCTTAGACATATCTAAAAAAAAATATTTGAAAGAATATACTTCCAGATTGGTCCCATTTTTATAAAAATTAAATTCAGTACTGATGGTGGGGGCATGGTAGGGGTCGATGTGGAATGGAGGGAGTCGGTTTCTTTTTGTATTTTTCTGCCGACTTCCAAAAAGGAGACTCAATTCTACTGTATGTTATTTTTATATGTGTGTTACCTCATAACTTTGTACTGGGTGAACCGATTTCGATGATTCTTTCTTTATTTAAAAGCTGGTACATCTCGTGTGGTCCCATATGATTTTGATTAAGGTCAGACCAATAGTTTTTGAGTTATTCTTAATAACTTATATTAAAGTCGACTGTACAAAATTTTTAATTTTAAATTATTCTTAATTTAGCATTTTTGCCAGGGTGAAATAAAACTAAATAAATAATAATGTCACTATATTGCATCTATTGTCTATACGGTACCTAGGTACATTTGTAATTAGTTAATATTTTGATGTACCGCTATAAGTACGTACGCTAGGGTTGCCAACGCGTCCTGTATTCCCAGGACATATCCTAGTTTTTGTAGTGTCCTGGGATGTCCTGGATTGTTTTAAGCAGTGTCTTGGGTTTTTAAAGCGCCTTGATAAGATCATGTATTTTTAAGATCACGGCGTTGAAATTAACGACGTAAAACTATTTGACGAGATAGACAGCGAACCGATAGCGTGGCGAAGCGAAAACGATAACGAACCGGTACTTGCATACATAGTACATACATTCGCTACGTTTTCGGTTTGGTTTGGTTCGCAGTTATGTTTGACAAGGCATTTACTGCGTCCTGTTTTTAAACTAAAATGTCCTGGTTTTTTTAACTTCAAATCCTAGCTTTTTAAATTTGGGGTTGGCAACCCTAACGTGTGCAGGTTATATTCTACCTTCATTACAAAAGTAACTACAAAAATTTTCTCTTATAGCTTTTGCTTCACAGTTTGGGTTACGATTGTGTGTTCTTTGCAGGTCTTCTAATCTATTTATATTATTTCCATTTTCACCATTTTCATTTGAAAAACTGTAAGAGTTTGCATTTTTCCTTAAATAATTATGTAAGTAGCAACATGTTGCTACTATCAATGAAGCAGTATCGGGTTCAAAAGGTAAATCTTTTTGAAAAGTACCAAACTTTGAATTCAGTATTCCGAAAGCACATTCAACTACTGAACGTGCTCGTGAAAGACGGTAATTAAAGATGTGTCTATTTTCGTTCAATACATTTTGAGCGTAGGGCTTCATTAAATTGGGACCCAATGCAAATGCTTCGTCAGATATAAAAACATATGGAAATGTCTGTCTTGTATTTGGTAGTGCCGATGGTTCTGGTAATTTGAGAGTGTTCTGTTGATACATCTCCCAAAATTTGGTATAGAATAAAACACCACCATCAGATACTCGACCATTAGTTCCTACATCAATCATTATAAATTCTTTTTTTGCACTTACAAGTGCCATAAGTACTATGCTATAAAACCCTTTATAATTATAATACATAGATCCTGATGCAGCTGGTTTCTTTATGCCAACATGTTTCCCGTCTAATGCACCACAACAATTCCAAAATTGGTGTATTGTTCCAAAATCATTTGAAATTATTTTCCATTCTTCAGCTTGTGTCGGCATCTAAAACATAAAGCAACAATTATAAACAATTCCAAATAGCAAACTTGAGAACTAGTTGGGTAAACAATGTACTTTAATTATATTTCAGGATGAAAATTCTGGAGAAATTTCTGCGAGACACGAAAGCGGTCAAGAAACTATAACAGAAAATCCATCACCGGGAAAATTTTCTTCAATCGCAGAAATTGTTCATCCGCCTAAACACAAGCAAAAACCAAAGACATTGCTGACTAAGCAAAATGAGCTGCTAGATCGAGCAAACATATTTTTGTCACAAAAAACGTCTGTGGAATCAACTACCACGACTAATACACTAGCATTGGTGTGGGCAGAAAAGCTCGATAAATTACAACCTCAACAACGATTCTTTGCAGAGAAAGCAATTCATGATATTTTATTTGAGGCGGGGTTGGGAAACCTTCACCGATTTTCTGTGAAAATCAACGAACCTACTCATAGGAATGCGATGTCACCATATTCATACAACGCCTCTCCTTTGCATTTACATAACTCTCCAATACCACACTACTCTTCGCCGGAAAACCCACCTTCTCCCTCAGACTTGCACTACTCTTCAGTTACTTCTCCTACACACTCTTCATTGCAGTCCTCGACAGTAGATGTTCCACACACATCCACATTTGAACAGTCACAAGTATTTGCTGAAGCTACTGTCTCACGCACACATCATTCGTCGTCGACTACTTCTACTCCAACACATTCTTTGACCATTGTGCCTCAACCAATGTCCTCTCAGTTAAAACTTGGAATAAATTCACATCCCGGTGCTTCTACTTACCGAAAAGGTTTTGCATCACAAATAATAATACACCAAAATACGGATGTCCCTACTTTACATATTCCAGATACCCAATCAGATATTGAAGATTATACAGTGGGGTCATTGTTTGCAAGATATAATCCGAATGATTAAATAATTGCAACCTACTTTAAAATAATTAAGTTGATTTTCTAGTTATTATTATTGTAATTCGCTGTTTATTATATTATTTACCTTATATTTCAATGTCTTGAATTTGTACTTATGCTAAATAAACTTACAAAATAAATAAAATACGTTTACTTACTTTCATATAGTCCCTGAGTACATAAATAAGAGCTCGGCATGTAATCTTGATTGCTTCACTAATAGCAGCAGGAGATATTATAGCTGAAAATTTTAGATCTTCAATATTTCTGCCAGTAGCAAGATAACGTAATGTTACTGCAAGTTTTTCTTCAGGTGTAATACTTTTTCTCATACAGGTATCTCGTTTGGTTATATATGGAGTTATCATTTGTAGTAACTCATCGAAACATTTTTCCCCCATCCTGAAGTAGTTTTTTATATCGTCAGTTTCAGCAGCTAGTTGAATTTCTTTTAGTAGATTTAAGTGAGTGTACCTTTCTCTCTTAAGTAGCCACTGTTTAACCCACTGCCTTTTTCGAATCCTTTTCTTCAAAGTAAGGGCCAAAACAAGTGATATTACAGCTTTAACCTCATGTAAATCCATGACCACAGAGTAATTGTTAATATGACAAGACAACAGGCGTTGGTAACGTGGCGGTAACGATAAACGGACTGAAGAAATCAAGATTGAACGTGTAATGTCGTGGCGCAATCCGGTGATCCGTGATCGCGATCAGAACTGTGTGATTGCAATCGAGATTGAGTGTGTACGGGCTGCCTTAAGGTTTGATTCGAGTTACTCGAGTCAAATAACTCGAGTCGCACATACGGATGTGACATTGAGTGAAAAAAATCGATTAATAAAAAATCGATTTTTTGCTTTGTGATAATAATCGATTTAAGAAAAATCGATTTTTTTATAAAAAAATAATCGATTTTTGCGAAAAAAAAATTTATTCGAAAAATAATCTTCTGATTTTAGAAATAAACTACAGAACAATTTTTTAACATATAACTGAACAATAAAAAACTAAAAATAATTACTGCCACAAATGTTCAGTGTCATTTAACAATTTCTTACAACCAAAATAAACAGAAACGATAAATTAAACTAAGTTTTACAGATTTTATCGCGTTTGATTTAACTTTTTAACTCCCCACATTTCAGGTGCTTTACAGCACGCATGGTCACAGAGGGGACTGTGGTGTTTGACGTCCCTATGTCATAGTTAAACCACAAATCCTCGCAAAAGAACACCGATTGCTACCAAGGATGATTCGCTAGGCTATCGAAATTAAAAAACATCCTAATTTCAATAGAGAAGATGGATGGGTGCTGCCATCTGCTTGGCATCCTATAATTAATAAAATTAAATCCAAACCCAAGCATACCACTGTAAGACCAAAGTAGATCGGACCAAAAATTAATATTCAAAAACTGAATTTAGCCAGGCTAACTATGACATCTGGACGTCAAAGACCTCAGTTCCCCCCGTAACCATGGGTGCTGTGAAGCACCCGAAACATCAGGAATTAAAAAGTTAAATTAAGCGTGATCAAATCCGTAAAAATTAATTTCATTTAATGTGTAGTCTTCGCGTAAATTATATAAGAAATCATTAAGAAAGCATAATTTTAGTAAAAGATAGTTTTTTTTTAAACTAAGTTTGAACAAACAAAAAGTCTAAATATCAATATGCCACTAATGTTCAGTATCATTTACATTGGATTAGAATGAAAATAAAATAAAAATATAATTATAAATAATCCGACGACAACCTTTTGATCTCAAAACTAAAATAAAAGACAAATCTTTTTTTACACTAGTATAAACCAAAAAAGTAAAAAAAAATATTGCCATGAATTTTCAGTTAAAGACTTTAAAAACAATCATTTCACCAAAATTCTTCTTCGTCTCTTTCCCAAAATACGGTTTCGTTTTTTCCTGACTATATTTCCCGCTTTCAAAAATAATCTTTCGGCTGGCGCGGAACTGGCCATCACTGAGAGGTGTTTAAAAGCCAATTCGGTTAGTTTAGAGAAAGTTCCTTCAGAGCTTCTCCATATATTGAGGGCATCTATCTGCCTTGAGATTTGATAGTGGTGCCGCAATATATAGATCCAATTCAGTATTTTTGCCTATTGACGTGTTAGCCGCTATCATTTTTTCATTATAAAATACTTCTGTCAGTCACTTCTACGCGTTTCACAAGACATTTTTATTGTTTATATATAATTGTTAACACTAACCAAAGAAAGAAAGAAAACCACAGAATACTTTTACTCCTAGCGGAGGAAGAAGCCTGTTGAAAACATACGAAAAGCGAAACTGTTTACATACATAGAGATACATAAAGGTGGCGCCGTCTTTTGATTGACTTATTCATTGAGCTTACTTCACGTTTTTACATCTATCGCACAGATGACTCTGATTACAAAAATCGATTGAAACGCATAATTTACATATTTATGTATATTATAATATATTAATATTAAAAATCGATTTTTATTATAAAAAAAATCGACTTCGAAAAATCGATTATAACAAAAAAATAATCGATTAATATAAAAATCGATTATTTTTTCACATCCCTAGTCGCACACCGCTACCCAGCATTAGGAGTAATAGTGTTCTGTGGTATAATCACGGCTGGTAATCTTTGGGCAAAAATCTTTGACCGTATGAAATGCAGTGAGCAATCCAGAACATGACGTTTCCCTCGTCCCTCTCATCTCTTGCCCCTTCCCGTTGCCGCCATTTTGTCATGTTATTGTCGCGTAGCTGTCAAGTTAGAAGTTTTCTTGGAAATTTTCATTTTGTTTTTCTATGAACTATGAACTAACTATAAATTATAAATAAAGTTTTATTGGCATTTTACTGCTATTTTACGAAAGGCTGTTTGTTTAATAGGTTATATATTTCGATGGGACGTTTACTTTAGTGTATTTTGTATAAAATTTTTAGTTTTAAAATCTATTTTTAAGTGTTTCATTCCCAATTGTGCAAGTAACAAAGAAGAGTCTGACGAAGGCCAAAGAAACAAGTGGTTGGACTTTATAAACTGTGACAAACTTAAATTATGCTGCATTCCAGTAACCATTTCAAGAAGCCTGCTTGGTCACAAAATTTTTGAATAAAGGGTTTCATACTGCTAAATCTGACATTAACAAGGCTAAAAAAGGTTGGATAAACTCAACACTTATCTTTGGAGTAAATTGAGTTAGGTTTATCATCAAAGATGACAAAGGTATGTACATTTAATAATTCCTTAATAAACGTAACTGCTCAGTATATTCAGTATTCATATAATGAATGAATGATGAATGAAACATAATAATAAATTCTTTTTATAATAATTTATTAAAATTTTAAGTTAATGGCTGAAGTAAATGAGGAATTCTATTATTTTAAATAATTAATTGTCAACATTATTTTATGCACAATCTCACACCTCTAGTCTTAATAATTACAAAATCAAGGATGTCTGAATGACAATGACAAACAATCTTTTATGTTTTTATTTCAGATGATACAGTTCAAATAAACTTGGTGTGATATTTGATCAGCCATCATAAAAAAAGGTATGAGGAATAATTTTGCTGTCAAAACATATAATAACTGATGGAAATGTATCAAAATGGCAAGATGATGTGTACTAAACAGGACTGCAAGCATACTCAATTGCGCTTGTTAGTTAAACTAAATGATGACCATGTGATTCCCAACGAAGTAAAAAAATTAAGGTAATAATCATGTAAAATTTAAATTGCAAAACAATCGCCATTCTAAAACTTTAGTTCAGATAATATTTTTATTAGGATTAGTAATATGTTTATATTTTTGAGCAAATTTGATCTCTGTCTACACCCTGAAATAAATGAATTAATGTTAATTCCAATTTTAAGTGCTAATTTATCATGTTCTGGAACATTGTGATGAAATCTGAGTGTCTAAGGAATAAAAATATTTTAAAGATGTAGTCTACCAATAAGCACCTTGCCCAACTCATTGTTTCATACCCCTCTGAGAAATGAGACAGTCTGTGCCCAGCAGTAGAACATGAACATAGACTCCAATAAATAATTGGCTACTTTACAAAATATACTTTTATTCTCCCAACCTTCTATCAAAAATTGCTACAGTGTACTTAATTATCTTAGGTATCAATGATAATTATGTTCAAAAATTATTGGAAATTTCTTTATAATTGTGGAAGCTTCTTAGATTTATGTGAAAGTAACTTTATCTGATTACAATGGCCTCTTCTTGTCTTGACATTTTCTATGCAAACATTTATAAACAACAACAATTACAATGAGCAACAAGTATAATAGGTGCATATTAAACTTCTAATTTATATATTTAAATATTCCTTTTTCCAGCTCAATACACTGGATATCGAATGTATTGAAGAGAACCTTTTCACTGAAAATATTCAAGTGCAAGCAGCAAAGGAGGAATTATATGTTTACTCTATAGCATGTATCACACATGGGTTTCTGAAAGGCACGGACATCATTAGACTTGAAAAGTGTACATTGCCAAAAATCCAAAAAAACCTTGAACAAGTTTAAAAAAGTTAAAAAAATAAAAATCATATAATAAATAATATATACAATGCATTTTATTTCTTGAATCCTTCATAATAAAATAATAATAATTAAAATTATAAATATAAAAATATCATATAGGTATATACCTATATATATATATATATATACATACATTATAATTATACTAGGCTGAAATAAAATCATTCCCTTGCCTATATCCAATTCATATTTAAAAAAAAACGAAATGTCATGTTCTGATTTGCTGTACGGTCCAAACTGAATGTACCAGAGACGTCCGTCTGAACGCGTAGTGTTTCTATATAGTTTGTGGGTATAATATACAGAAAACTAATTCTACTCATTGCATATTAGTTTGTGATTAAAGTTATTGGAAATAGAAATGACCTATTTTAGTGAAATTTGTAGAATTTGTTTATGCGATAATCTACGCATGTATGTACTAAAGAAGACTGGTCTCGAAAATTTGTACAAAACATTGACGAATAGTTTTGTAAGTTTGTAAATATTTCTTAACATTGCAAATTGAATGTACTTCATCGAGAAATACTTTAAAGAGGGGTTATCGCCGGAGAAATATATTATAACATATATAGTGTATATAACATAAATAGTATATATAGTGACAAATATAACCAGAACCTGAAAAACAACAATTAGCCGGGATCCTGGATCGCACTAAAATCAGTATAATCATTGAAGTAACCGCGGGCTCAAACTTACCGAGTCTGCGCCATAAACAGGAACTTTGTGCATCCTTCAATGCAACCCGCACTGCTGCATAGATTTATTCGTGGTGTCTGTTATTTTCCCTCAAAAAATTAATATCCACCCTAGTTTGCTCTTTCACCCACTTAAAGCCGTTCTATTGACTATTAAAGTGGGAGATTAGAGTGCACATGTGCTTACAGACAGAAATTTTCTCACTCTTATATTTCTAATATTCCTATCAGACTGAGAAATTGAAGAAGGGAATAATGTGCATATGTGCTTGCTAACACACATATTATGCAATGTAATCCTGTCCTGCGCTGATGAATAGGCTCTATTGTGACCGAAATTCTGTCTGTAGAACATTATTATCATTATTTTATATGTGCTAGAGCCATGCTGCAGCTATATTATGGTTGTATCACAGGTGGTTCCGCTAGACTGGGGTGGTACCGTATTCACAGATTACTAAAGTAAAATAGCAGCTTAGTTCTGCTCTGTTTTATATGGTGAGTGTAGAGCATTGGAGACCATTTTTACTAGAGGTGAGGCATTCAGTGTTGGTCTCAGGGGTGATAACGCATCTGCATTTTGATTCTTTACTGGGGATCAATTTGGAGTTCTATAGGCCATAGCGAACGACAAATCAAACAGTCCACCTGATGGTAAGTGAATGCATTTAGAATTAGGTGGACTGTTTGATTTGTCGTCACCCTTGTATAAAAAATATTGAACCAGCCAGCAGTTGATACAGTTGATATAACTCTGTATCCTGGTTTCAAATCTCTAGTTGTTCTATTTTTTTTATAGGAATAGGGTGACAAAAGAGCACACAGTCCACCTGATGGTAAGTGGTTGCTGTGACCCATACACATCTACATTTATCCTCGTTTGCGAATCAAAATGCATATGTGTCATTACCCGTGAGGACTAAGTTGGAATGTCTCTTTTCCAGTAAAAAGTGTCTCCGGTTCTCTACACTCACCATATGAAACACAACAGTGTTAAACTGCTATTTTACGCTGGTATTCTGTGAGAGCGTGGTCCTTCCCCGGTCGAGGTGACCCATTCATGCTACAACTATACTACTAATATAGCTGCAGCATGGCTCTACTATGTTGTAAATTTATCCAATCTGTGGTACAATCAGTTTATTGTTTGTACTAATATTACTTTTGATAGCAGTTTGTTCCATACTCTAACAACTCTTTAGCTAAAGTAGGTGAGTTATTAGGTGACTCAGCTTTAGTCAATTTGAAGTGATGCCACTAAGCTAAGCCTTAACTTGAAAATACCCAAGAGTCTGAATCTACTGCTTTTAAAATTATATCTGTTAATGTCATGCACACTACTACGTGCTTGACACTCCTTTTGAATTAATTTGAGAATTGTGTACATATTATACTAACAGCGTGACAAAGTTTGCTGATGACATCATGTCATCACTTATCAATGATTAGTAATACTTTACAAGAAACAAATGAATAATTTCGGAGTGGGAGCAATAAATTCAAAGATGTTGCACAAGTGAGCGCACAACTGCGTTGTTAACAGTACTTACTAGGCGAGCACGGGGCATGGTCGGTGGAAGCGAGAGGGGTAGTAATAGGCAAACTTTCTGCACTCGGCTAATAGCTAGCAGGACTATCAACAAATGGGGAAACATAATTCTCGAGTGGTAGCCTCAACTGGTAAGCAAATTGTAGAGTGGCCGCCCACTAGATAGTGGCAATCTGGTAAGACAGGAAGTCGATGGATGTAGGTGGCTTAGGACTATGTTGTTGCAGTGATGATGATTCACTAGGTGGCAGGACTTTCTGCCTAGGAGTCTGTCTGGGTAGTAATCATCCTCTTGCCTATTTGTGCCACCAGCAGCAGTATGTGTCCAGATGTGTAGTTCATTGAGAGCCAGTATAATAACACACTGTGAAGCATTACATGTTAGACCTCAGAGGTAACATCGCATCTGTAGCCTTTGCTTGAAGTTTGTTGCAGGTGCCTATGGGCTGCAGTTGTCACTTACCATCAGGTGGATTGTGAGTTTATTTGTCACTTTAATGTTATAAAAAAATGATGTTCATGAAGAGAATTCTGGTAGCCAATAGATTTTATTACAAACTTGTATATTTAAGTAGTTTTCCATTTTTATTACGAAATTTCATATTTTCAGGTGGATGTGGATGAGGAGGTCATAATTGTCTGTTTCATCTGTCATGCAAGACTCATTCGTTGCAGAACATTACAACAACAGGCTATTGAGTCAAATGCAGTTCTGGAGCAGTTGCTTGCAGGAGGGTCTATGGTATTATATGTATGGTGGTATTATCCGTTCCATCCATTAAAACCTATAAAAGTCCCTCATAGATTGCTTTTTGCGAGGGATTTTGCCAAATTTGCCACACTTGGTAGGTTGGCAACCGCAGTTTATATTAGTCTGAGTTGTTGTCAGGAAGATGCTGCCGCCCAACTCCTGTTTCTGTTTCCCTCTGTCGCCAGTAGGGCAGTGGATATTCTTACACCGCCACTACACGGTCCACGGTATTATACCTGTTATTAATTAAATTTCACTGCCTGGTGGTTCATTCCTATTATAATGAAATATTTGCCTTAATCATCACTTGGCGTTTCCATATGGGAGAATGTTTTTTCTACTGCAAAGTTAAGTTTATCCTTCAATCCAACTTATTCGTTAGAGCAATGTTCTATATTTTACGAATTACAGTGATGATTTCTTATATTTATGCGAACACTACAGATTGAATAAAACTATTTTTACGGATTTTATCGCGCTTAATTAACTTATTTTCTATTCCCGACGTTTTGGTTGCTTTCCAGCAACCGTGGTCACGGGGGACTGAGGTAATTGACGTCCCGATGTCAGAGTTAAACCGGAGTACCTTCAGCTTTTTTAATTAATAATTTTGGTCCAATCTACGCAGAATATACTAACTGTGTCTTGAAGTCTTGCAGTGGTATGCAAGTCAATCTATTTATTTAAAATATAAAAGGTTTTAGTACTGATGTGGTCACTATAAGACGTTGTTAAGTTAGCTAATTACGTAATAACTTAAGATAGAAGGACCCTTAAGTAGGGACTGAATAAATTAACTGACTTGGTATTACATGGATCTCACAACTTTTTACGGTAGCAGAACTGAGTTGCAAGACTTGGTTTTTTCTACAAGTTATATTTTTGATGGTATGTAATACTACTCAGTAAACAAAGATAGATCATTGTCAATTTACTGCATTTGTGAATCTGATTGGATATATTGTTGAGACTCGATACTCGGGATGGATGAACTATATATATATTCTTATGTAAGTTTATTTGGAACCCTCACTTTGTCCGGTTTTTATTATTATTTGGAGTTGTCAGGTTGATGCTGCTGCCCTGTCCCTTTTTATGAAATCTGCGGGATGGTATGGTAGAATGGATTCTCCTACGGCACCACTACACTGGCTTTATCTCTTATTAACAAAAGAATTTGGTTTCAGTCAATACCAAATCATCATGAGGCTAGAGATAAGATTCAATTCACTCCAATTAGTCATATAGATATCAGGCCAGTAGAGTGTGATCTAGATAATGATTGTCAGAACGATATGTTTAGCCTTGAATCTGTTAAAGTTGAGGAAGAGAATTTCGAAAATGAGAATTTCAGATTTGAAGAAAATGTGAATCATGAAATAGGTAAGATATACACATTTTGTGATTTAATAAAATAAGCTACAAGTTACCTAATGGCAAGTGGTTACTGTAGCCCATGGACACAAAATAATATTATAGTGGCATATATACAAATTTACTCGACAAGGCGCCTTTAACGCGAATGTTACGCGTTCTTAATAGAAAGGCTGAAGACAATGATTTATTCTGTTGCACCTTGAGTGAATTCACTAGGGTAAGATTGTTTACAATTTGTAACAGTTAATGACCTCATTTTGCATGAGAAGAACTACACTGTCGCATTAGGTTATTCCTGTCATGATAGTTGTTAGTTTAAATAAAAACTATCGGTAAATCCAATTATGCATGCCCTAAGCGCATTAAAAAAATTACGTATGACATGATTATAACGGAATTTTTTTAAAGTAGCTTAAATACACACAAGTATGCTTAACGTAATTACCAAGACATATTTTTCCCAAGGTTACTACTAATACGAGGTTAAAATTAATAGCTATCTTACAAATTATTACAGCACTGATCTTAAATCATTCAAACTGTATACACAGATATTTTCATGGTCATATATGCCCATACATACATGCTAAATCCCAAAACAAGAATTTAATCGTAAAATCTTTAAAAAAATATTTCTTAATAACCAAGCGCAGCGCGAGGAGCTCAGGCCCCCTCCGCTGTCGACATGCTTCGATAAGCTATCTTTCTCACACTTATGGCTACGCATAAGAAGACTTTTTTGTCGTATTCATTTGTAAATTTTATTCACGTCTGGGAGTTGTTTAAAACCGCTAAATTCGTTTGGCATTTTGCAAATATTATTAAAAATGACTCAATAAAAAAATTTATTATAACTAAACTAAATACAATTATTCTGCTAACAGATTAAAAAATAGATAGAGTTAAACAATTAATATTTTCAAAACCGTAGAGCCATGCTGCAGCTATATTAGTATTTAGTAGTATAATTGTAGCACGCATGGGTCGGCTTAACAGGGGAAGGACCACGCTCTCACAGAATACCAGCGTAAAATGGCAGCTTGACGCTGCTGTGTTTCGGATGGTGAGTGTAGAGAACCGGAGACCCATTTTACTGGAATAAAGGCATTCCATCTTAGTCCTCACGGGTGACAACGCATCTGCATTTTGATTCTTCATTGAGGATAAATGTAGATGTCTATGAGTCACAGCAACCACTTACCATCAGGCTGGCTGTGTGCTCGTTTGTTATTCTATCTTATAAAAAAATGCGGACTTAATAAATCTACACCATAAGACACTAAAACCACTTTTTTATGTAAAAATAGCAATAAATCGATTTAAAAAAAAATTAATAAGTCCAACAATCATTTATCTTTCTGACAATGTGGTTTTTATATCATTTATATGTTCAATATAATTGTTAGATGCGATTTTATGCGACAAAACATTGGAATCTTGATTTTTAGGCGCTAGTAGAACATACCTACGCGTTTTGCGCTAGACATGATTGTCAATGTAAAATAATGAGCTTCTTCAGACATTTTTTTTACTTATGCATTAATATATTTTAAAAATATTTTGATCCTGTATAAATGCAGCCAGTATGTATGTCACTAAGATGGATTAATTTCATAGGAATTAATGATATACTTACAACTGGTAAGCAACCTGTCTTTGCCAATTTCTTTAGGAATGCCACAAAGCACGGGCCTTAGCCACCTGCATCCATCGACTTCCTGCATGTCTTACCAGGTTGTCACTCCATCTAGTGGGGGCCGCCCTACACTACGTCTACCAGTACGAGGTTGCCACTCGAGAACCTCTCTTCCCCATCGATTGTCAGTTCTGCGGCCCATTGCCACTTCAGCTTCTTACACTTAGCTTATGAAACATGCAGTATGGTAATGAAAGTGGGTGGCTCAGGCCCATAAGCTTTGTGGTGGACTGTAATGATCTAGTCGCTTGAAAAAAATATCAGTAATTATTTTATATATTGAGTCAGAATCTGTTTCATTCTAGAGAGTGCTGAAAAACAAGAAGATTTGGAGATTGATGCTTTTGAAGATAGACATACGGATTTGGATGACGACTTGCCGCTAATTGCATTTGGTTCAAAGAGTAAAAAAGATGACGATGACATAGGTAAATGAATTTATGTTAAAAAACCTGTATCAAAAAATAAAAAAAAACCACCACAAATTCCTCTTGCATCATGTAGTTGGAGATGTACTATACATACAAATTTTGCTCTTAATTACTTTAGTCACATCTAGGTTCTGCAATAAAATCTTGCGCCTAGCGAAGCGAGCGGTTATCACCTATACTAGAATTATTTTGTGCGTGCAATTTGGGTCATAAATTATCGGAGTATTTCGCTCTCTCTCACACTCACGGGCTTTATGGGCGAGTATAGTGATGCGCATTAATCTTGTCGATAAGCGTTATCGATAGTGTAATTTGCATTGTCATTATGTGAGCTAGTGATAAAAATGAAAAAAAATTAGATAAAACAACGTATTTATTAACATAATAATAATAATAATTTTAAATAAATTATTAATTAGTTATCTATCTATTAAAGAACTATAAGTAGAAATGTTTTGCATCTAACAACTTATATTAAAAATAAATATAAAGATAATAACTTATATCTAAAATTAAATTTGTTGTTATCGATAATGGCGTTGCGCCCTCGCAACAGCCCGGCTAGGGCGGTAAGGCCGAGCTATGCTTTATGACCCCAACTGCACGCACAAAATAATTTTACTATAGTGTTTAATATAATGGATTTTCGCAATGTAACGTCTGATTCTATTGATAATCTTTATGTCTTGTCTTACAACGCGGGCGAAGCCACCTCTGTCGTTTTTTAACATCCTTTCCGATTTCAGTCAACTTTTCGCTTTGGTTTTATTTTTAGGATGTGAGTACGAGGGGTGATCCAAAAGTAATTATTGATAGTGAATGTTAAATACGGTGATTATTGTTAAAAAAATAATTTATTTTTCCACATAATCTCCTAACAAGTCAATGCGTTTAGTCTATTTTTGTTCTAAACCCAGAATTCCCTTAAAAAAAATCTTTATTTTGATCCTCAAAAAAAGCATCAACAGCGTCCATGACTTCGCTATCGTCTGCAAATTTCTTGCCTCAAAGGTGTTCCTTGAGCCGAGGAAATAGAAGTCACTGGGAGCTAGATCTGGCGAATAGGGCGGGTGTTCGAACAGTTCAAATCCCGTTTCTTGAATGGCAGCCATCGCAACTGCGGCTTTGTGAGGCAGAGCGTTGTCTTGGTGAAACAGCACTCCAGCTCGTCTCATCGTCTTTTTCTTTGATAGCTTCCTGCAATCTTCTTATTTGGCCTGCGTAGTCGAGAGTATAAGTCAAAAATAATGGCTCCCTTTTTCAATTATTTCACCATAATTATTCTTTCAGCGTCCCCAAAAACTGACGCGATAACCTTTCCCGGCGAACTTGACAGTTTGAATTTCTTTGGCGTCGGGAGGAGACTCAGTATCACACCGTTGATTGTTGTTTGGTTTCAGGATCGAAATGGTAGGTCCAGGTCTCGCCCACGGTCACGAAACCTTATAAAAATCTGATCTGCTTGGAACCTTTCGAGATTCACCCTCGAAATGTCGACACATTTTTTGTTTTACTCGTCGGTTAACATTCTCGGTACCCAACGCGCAGAGATCCTTTTCATATGCAATTCGTTCGCAAGGGTTCTTTGAACACTGCCATATGAGATACCTGTGACCTCAGCTATATGCCTGGTGGTCACACTTCGATCTGCCAATATGATATCACTTTATCTTCAGTGAGGGATGTGGATGGGCATTCATCTTCCGTGGATGTTCAGCCCAGCTTAACCTCCTTGGCCCAGCGTGCAATTGTGAAAGGAGCAGAGTCCCTCAATATTTCACCAAGTCGCTGTGTATGTCTTTGGTAGACATTTTTTAAACAGAGACAGCTCTCATTTAACTTTTCTCCATTTTGATGTTAAAAGATAAAGATAAAGATAATTTTATTTGTTCAAACATGAGTATACATACATATGCATGCAAGATGTTAAAAGAAAATATCTCGACAGTCATGTTTAGCCTCTACGGCGTACAAATGTTAAAAAAATAAATAAAAAAATTACAATTCTAATTGGCCTTCGCCTTATTTAGTATTAATAAATTATACAATAAACATTAAAACAGAAAACAAACATCATTAGAGAAGAGAATCTATATATTTAAATATACTTGTACTTAAAAACATACCTTTATTTACCTAAATGATTGTACAATTCTTAGTGTTACATACTGACATTAGTCAATTTCGTATATTATTACTTTCGATTATTTTATGAATTCTACTTTATTATGTTCAATTAGCAGTAAGATAATGTGTAATAATTTATATAAATGTAGATATTATATGTCATAGCAGTTAGTGGTCAATGTTGTCTTGCAGAAAGTCATTAATATTGTAGTAGGCTTTATTTGCAAGGAAATTATTTAATTTATTTTTGAGTATGTTACTATTATGTTCTTTCCAGCGTTTAGGAATTTTATTATATATTTTTGGGCCCATGCAAAATATGCTGTTATTCATTAAAGTAGTTTTTGATTTATGTAGACAAAGTTTACTGTTATCACGTCTATTACGAACGACCGCATCGGACATGCATGGGAATAGGTTAGGATTGCTCTTAACGAACATTGCGCTTTCCAAAATATAAAGTGAGGGTAATGTCAATAATTTATATTGTATGAAAAATGATTTACAGCTCTCCGTGACCTTTAGTTTGAAAATGGTCCTTATGAATTGCTTCTGGGCTTTAAATACTAATTCTTTATTCATAGTTACCCCAAAAGATAATGCCGTATCTAAGAATTGAGGAAATTAAAACATTGTACGCTGTGAGAAGGGCATCGATATTGAGCATTGGTACTAATTTGTAGAATGCGTAAGAGGATTTACTGATTGTTTTTATTAAGGCTTCTGTGTGTGTTTTCCAATTGAGTTTTTTGTTCAATAATTACACCAAGAAACTTCGCATTATCTACCTCATTAATCATTTTACTATTGTAGTGTGTATGTAGGTTTGACATAGTAGATCCTCTTTGTGTAAAGTGCATAATATTAGTTTTTTCCAAATTGATTTTTAAATTATTATTTTCTAGCCATTTTATCATTGATATTAGGGAATAATTAATGTCATTATTATAGGTATCATTATTTTTATAAGGTATAGTTATGGTACTGTCATCGGCAAATAGTGTCACGTATTGGTTAATGCTTTTAGGTGGGTCATTGATATATATAATAAACAATAGAGGTCCCAAGACACTGCCTTGAGGCACACCATATTTAACTACTCGACCTGATGATCGATAAGTTTCTTCATGTTTGGTGTGTGTGTTTACTGATGTTATTTCTGTATATTGCTTTCTATTCGTAATATATGATTCTATGAGACGCGAAACGTTACTTCGGATACCATAAGCTTCTAACTTCCTAATCAAAATGTTGTGAGAGACGTAGTCAAACGCCTGCGTCATATCACAAAATATGGTGCTAACAGGAATGTTTTTGTCTACATTTATCATGACTTTATACAAGAAGTCATAAATAGCCATATTTATTGATTTATTATTACGAAAGCCTTTCTGTTCTTGAGTTAGTATATTATTCTTCTCAAGATAAGTATATAATTGTTTATATATATATGTTTCTCAAATATTTAAGAGATAATACTTATGAGAGAGATAGGTCGGTAGTATTGGATAAGTTGCTTATCTTCTTTTTTAAATAACGGCTTTACAATCGATATTTTCAGTGCCTCTGGAAAAGTACTAGTATCGATGCTTAGATTTAAAATATAACTCAAATGTGTACAGATTTCTCCAGCAACAGCTTTGACGACTTTCGTTGAAAGACCATCATAACCCACACTATTTGTATTTCTTAATGAGTTTATTATTTTGTATATTTCCGCAGGGTTACACGGGGCTAAAAAGAAGGAGTTTAATCTGTTTTCTATTAAAGATGTAACATTTTTAAAAGAATTATTTATGGGGATTATTTTTACAATAAAGTATGTATTAAATTCATTAGCTATGTCTTTAGGTTTAGTGATTATATTATTGTTGATTTTAATTTTTCTAATAATGTCTCTGGGTAAATTTCGTTTTGAACTATTAATTATCTTCCAAGTTGCTTTAGATTTACACGCAGAGGTCTTTATTGTATAGTTATTTTGTGCTTTCCGAGTAAGCTTAATTATAAGTTTTAGTCTTTTAGAATAATTAGTAAAAATATTTTTGTTTATTTCATTTGGTTTATGCCTATATTGCCATAATAATTGGCGCTTCTTTTTGCTACACATTTTTATGCCGCGAGATATCCATTTGGGTTTTTTGATAATATTAATAATTTTAGTTACCTCGGGAAAACATAACTTATAGTAAAGAGTAAATGTATCTAAAAATAAAAAAAAAATATTGTGGTCATCATTAGGATCAGAAGTTTCGTATACATTCGAAAACGATAAGCTTTTTAAACAACTTTTGAATTTACTTATGTTTTCCTTACAATAGTATCTTTTAGTGACTCGCCAGTATTTATTATTAAAAATTGTTTGAACAGGAAATTTGAATATTTGTGCTGTGCGATCAGATAATTCTAGTTCACGCACTTTAACAACACATTTCTTAGTAAAGTTATGAGCGATGTTGTCAATACATGTTTGACTTTTTAGGCGAGTAGGTTGATTTACTGCCAATTTCAAACCAATATTCATAAATACACATTCAAAATCTAAAGTGTGTACATTTCGCTTCAATAAATCTACGTTAAAATCACCCGCTACTACAATATTATCATAACGATTCTTACTTAGCGTTCGCAATATTATTTGTATTTTCTCTATACATAAATTAAAATTACTAAGTTTAGGTACCCTGTATACACATGCTAAAACTATCTTATAGTCAATCAGTTCAATTGCGCAGCGTTCAAACACGCCAGTCACAGATATTTTTGCAATTTGATTTAATTCCTTAAAACGGTGGCCGTTTTTGACGAGTATGCATGATCCTCCTCTCTTACTTTCCTTTCGAGCAAAACATGCTGCTAGTTGATAATTTGGAATACTTGGGAGGGATTCATAACCTGCCGTGATAAAATGTTCAGTAAAACATAAGATGTCCACATTTATATTTTCATCTAATAGTTCATCAAGGCTCACCGAGATTGCTTCAGATTTGTTCATTAATCCTGCAATATTGTGATGTAGAACATGCAGGTGTTTTATGGTCACGAAAAAAGGTTTCTTCACCTGTTTCCTGCGGCGTGCATTCATTGATTCTACTTGGTTGGTTCAAAGTGATAATTACTTGATCGTCATGAGCAGAAAATAATTCGTAATCTATCAATTATATTTGACATAATGTTCTCGTAGATGTTCTTCCATCCGGTTTTATTTATTCTTCCAGTCTTATAGGAAAACATTTCATGTGTCAGAGAGAAATTACTGTCGAAAAAATAGGCATATTTTTGATTCTTTACGTCTAAGCACAGGAGATTATTGAATAGCTCGACTCTGTAATTGTGTATGAGTGCACCTTTTTTGTAGGTTGGTGTGCATACGATGCTATTGGTATGAGTTGCATTTTTCAATGACTTTTTCAGGTCCTCCAATATATTTAAGTACTCGTTGTTTTTTATATCATTTTCACCTATAAAAATCAAGCAGTAATCTTTCATTGTAAAGTCTTGTAGCTTATTTTCAAATATTATTTAAGCACTCGTTTGTGGCAGTATTAGGAAGTAGATAATGGCAGTAGTCAAAATCATCCAAGAATACTTTTTCAATTAATGGCAGAGTTCCCTTTGTGCAGCCGCTGTTTATTATACACAGTTTATTTATTTTTTGTTTAGATGTGGCTTTAGTGCCTGTTAAGTTTTTGTAAGCAATGTTGCACTGTTCTGATGATGTTTTTAGATTTTGTTCTGTTTGTGTCTGTGCGTCCATATTGAGATAGGTAGTCTGTGTTTCTTTATTTAACATATTAGAGTTACTCTTTTCGTTACTATCTTCTATAGTTTATAACTCAATGTCTTGTGTAACAGACAATTTCTGCTGTCTATACTTTTTTTACGAGTTGATAATGATGTATTATTTTTTCTATCAGGGGTTACGCAGATATTTTTATTAGTTTCAACAGTTTTTAACGATTTTTGTAGATCTGATTACAATCGAAAGTTTTCACAATTCAAATTTTCTATTTCTTGATGCGCACCCATTAGTTGCATCTTAAGTATTTTTATTTCTTCATTTAAACTATTAATTATGTCATTATTGCTATTGCTGGTGTCGAGTATTGGTTTCTCATGCTCATCAGTCGAAATAGTTTGTCGTTTCCTATATGTGACATTATCGAATGAATCTGAATCCATATTTTTATTTTTCTAAATTATTTCGTTTGCTTATGGAAGTGGCGCCCTCTCTTATTAAATGCTTAACATGTAACTCTTAACTTTCTTCGTAAAATCTTCAAAAATACAAACTGGTGCTTCGTGGGTTCGAAACCACGACCACTCGATTCCGCAGCTACATACACGTAGCTGTCTTATGCATTGGGCCATCAAGACCCAATGCATATTGTTGAAAATGTCTATCATAAGTCAATGTATGAGAGATTTGAATTTTGCAAAGCCGTTGATATGACTAATCATTTAGGAATTTTTTTCACTTGATGTGTACTTTGTGTCAAAGTTTTTTATTCACTTTTTATGTTTTAAAGTTACTTTACATATTGTTTAGCGAGTAGGTTATTTGTTTATATGTATTAATACTGCAATTAACATTTTTTTAAGCTATTGTTCCAGTTTGTGTACAATTTAGTCTTGATTTATTTACACTGTTTTTTTAACACTATTGTACTGAGGTCTTTGATAACCTCACAACCGATTTTTTGGATCACTATTCACAGTTTTACAATAAATTTAACTCGGAAATACGATACAAAATATTTTTAAATTAATTATAAACACGGAGCTTTTTTACTTAGATGTTAGCTAGACAGCGCCATCTGTGTATCCTCATTGATCTCTTTGATGATTCGTATTCAAATGAATGTACCTCTCGGGAATCGTAGCCTGTTTATATATATTTTTTTAATTCTGATCTAGTGGGTACATAAACAAGAAAAAATTTTTTCGGATTTTTATGTGCACTGGAAATAACCTATTATCATTACTTTTGGATCTGCTGTCCAATCTATACAAATAAATAAAATTGAAGTGTCTGTTTGTATTCTCAAAATTACAGTTTCTTTACTAAATGCATATGAAAGTAAATACGGTACTTATAACTAAAATAAATTTTAACAATTTTTGTCTGTCTGTCTGTTTGTTCCGGCTAATTTCCGAAACGGCTGAACCGATTTTGACGGGACTTTCACTGACAGATAGCTGATTTCTTAAGGAGTAACTTAGGCTACTTTTATTTTTAGAAAAAGAATTAGGATTCCGCGCAAAAACATAAAAACCCTAACACGCGAGCGAAGTCGCGGGGAACAGGTAGTAGAGGAATAAATGTAGAATAGCGGTTTTTTTAACTTTCATGCAAGTCTTTTCATTGTTGCTCTGCGTCTAGCTTCGATTGTTGAGTTTTTTACATTAGTGCCTGCCAGTATCTGGAGACCTTCCGTACAGGCCCTGACGTTTGGCACGTAAAAAATAAAATGTCCTAGCGCTTGACGGGTTAGCAAAAATCAATATGTAACTGAGAGAAGTAGCCTAATGCTATACTATTCCTATACTATTCCTCCTCCTCATGAATCTGGCTATAATATAGAAAATCATTTTTTCAAATCGGACTGATAGTTCCAGAGATTGGCGTGTTTAAAAAAAAACAAAAAACAAAAAGCCCTTCCACTTTATTATATTAGTATAGATTACAAAGTTATAATGCAGTTGTTGTGTTATGTTCATGTTATTTTTATGTTTATGTCATATTCTCTTACTCCTTAGGTGTCGTTCCAACCTTATGAAAGACAGCCTTAGTGCATGCGATTCCTAAAAAAGGCTGGGACCTATCCAAATACAGGCCTATCACCATCACCTAGTTCTCCAAAATAATGGAATCCATTATTAACTGCCAGCTCACGCGTCACGCGCTACCTTGAAGAGCATAAGCTGATTAGTGACCTTCAATACGGTTTCCGTCGTAGCTGTTAGGATCGATAGGACGGAAACGGCGTGTATGGATGTATGTATACATACATACACACCTACTTACAAAATTAACTATTTTATGGGTGCCAGTGGAGAAAGGACCTCTTAATATTCCTGTAAACTTCCACTGCTGAACATGGAAGAATCTCTCCCTACGCAGGAAGGATTTGCCTTGAGAGTCACGCTTGGCATAGGACTGACGATCGCAGAACCAGACGTGAGCACCTCTGGCAATGTCGCCTGGCGCCGGTCTGGATATTTTACATCTGAAGTAAACGAGGTGGTTATACCGCCATCTGTCGGAAGCCATCAGATTTTTGTGGCAAACCCATAGTCGCCTCTTACGAAACCCACGGGACAAAATGTGATGATGAATTCTCTTATACCGCACTTACACGCCATCTTCGACCGTGTGTGTATAACACTAGTTCTGTGTGGAATTCGAAACAGCGATTATTAGATTAATGTAAATGTAACATGGTCAGAAAAATCATTCTTTCCCTCCAAAAATGAATATGAGAGACATTATTCGGAGTAATTGACTAAAATACTTTATATCTGGCAACAATATTTAGTATTATTGTGTAAAATACTATAATTTATTTATTTCTCCCTGGGTTAACGGATAGAAAATGCCATAAGGCATAAACTTCGCCCATTGTAAACCGTTTAAGGTGTCTTGCAATAAAGATGCAATAACTTACAATAAATAAAAAGTTTAAATTCGACAAATCATTTTTCAGAATCTTCTGAGAAGAAGATTAAATCAAATTCTACTGCTTGTAACATAAACGATGTTCGTGAAGAAGACCTCGATTTTGAAGGCCCTACTATTAAATCAAACCCTAAAATGAAAAAAGATAATCAACCAATTAATAAAAAAGAAAAGCATCCTGCAAAAATAATGAAAAAGAAAATTTTAAAACAAACGAGTGTAAATATACTTAAGAAAAAGATTTCTGGGACATCAACTAAATACATTTTTGAATGTTATGATTGTACTAAAAAATTTTCAACAAAAGACATTCTTGCCAAACACATTTCATACAGTCATAAGACGCAAAAGAACTCTGACACCACTGCAGTTGGGACACAAGTAGAACAAGCTCCAGTACCACAACTAACAGAAATATTTAATTGTGATATGTGCGAATTTCAAACATCTCAAAAACGTTACATTTTGGCACATCTTAAAGCGCACGTCGCTAAACAAATGTACTGTTGTAATAATTGTGAATATAAATGTATTACAAAAAGAGATTTGCAAAGACATATGAAAATACACACCGGTGAAAAACCTTTTTCGTGTAATATCTGTGAATATAGATGTATTAGAAAAGGTCATTTGCAAAGACATATAAAAACACACACCGGTGAAAAACCTTTTTCGTGTAATATCTGTGAATTTAGATGTATTAGAAAATGTAATTTGCAAACTCATATGAAAATACATACTGGAGAAAAACCTTTTTCGTGTAATATCTGTGAATATAGATGTATTTTAAAAAGTACTTTGCGAACACATATGAAAATACACACCGGTGAAAAACCTTTTTCGTGTAATATCTGTGAATATAGATGTATTACCAAAAGTAGTTTGCAAAAACATATTATGAAAATACACACCGGTGAAAGACCTTTTTCGTGTAATATCTGTGAATATAGATGTATTTTAAAAAGTACTTTGCGAGCACATATGAAAATACACACCGGTGAAAGACCTTTTTCGTGTAATATCTGTGAATATAGCTGTATTACAAAGAGTCGTTTGAAAATACATATGAAAATACACACCGGTGAAAGACCTTTTTCGTGTAATATCTGTGAATATAGAAGTATTACAAAATGTGGTTTACAAACCCATATGAAAATACACACCGGTGAAAAACCTTTTTCATGTAATGTATGTGAATATAGATCTATTAGAAAAGTTGATTTACAAACCCATATGAAAATACACACCGGTGAAAAACCTTTTTCGTGTAATATCTGTGAACATAGATTTATTAGAAAAGGTGATTTACAAACCCATATGAAAATACACACCGGTGAAAAACCTTTTTCGTGTAATATCTGTGAATATAGGTGTATTACCAAAAGTACTTTGCAAAAACATATAAAAATACATACCGGTGAAAAACCTTTTTCGTGTAATATCTGTGAATATAGATGTATTAGAAAAAATTGTTTGAAAAAACATATGAAAATACACACCGGTGGAAAACCTTTCTCGTGAGCTATCTGGTAAAATATGTACAATATTGTTTAAACGTGTTTTATATAAATATGTGTGTACCAGATAAAAATATATTTTTTGTGAATTTGTGATGTAATTGTATAACGAGTAGAAAAACCTTTCCGTGCCTTATGTGCAAATTGAAGCTGCATTTGTTCTGAAGATGTTAATTCAATACCTAATTTAAAATTTTGTACAACCGAATTCAATATAAATTATTAAGAATAATTCAAAAACTATTGGTCAGACCTTGATCAAATTTATATGGGATCACATGTGAAGCACCAGCTTTCAAATAAAAAAGGATTTATCGAATTCGGTTCATGCAGAAAAAATTAAGAGGTAATACAGTCGAATTGAGTACCTCCTACTTTTTGAAGTCGGTAGAAAGCAAAAAATATTGGAACCTTAAAATAAATACCGTATGTGTCAGTGGAGGTTAGTGGAAACACACTAGACCTTCATGTTTTTTTTTTAATTTAAATGATAGTTTACGTTTTACTTTTTTCGCCTCGACGTTTATCGTTACCGATACAGCCTTTAAAACTACTCTGTTGAACATAGGCTTCCCCCGTGGCTTGCGTCATATTTGCCATAGTTGCCATGCAGGTGGGTAGGCAACCGCGGTTTGTTTATTATTTTCACTTGTAATCAGGGAGACGCGGCTGGCCATCTTGTAGTTTGTTTCCCTCCGTCGCCTCTTACGACACCCACGGCACGATATGGGGTAGTGGATTGTCTTAGACCATCACCACACAGCATCATAACTATGTCACGTTATGATGCTGTGTGGTGGTGTCTGTCTGTACGTGGTAGAGCCACGCTGCAGCTATATTATGGTTCTAACACGAATGGATCGGCTCGACCGGGGTAGGACCACGCTCTTAAAGAATACCAGCATAAAATAGCAACTTCGTTTGTTGAGTGTAGATAACTGGAGACGCTTTTAACTGGTAACGAGTCATTCCTTCTCAGTCCTCATGGGTGACAACGCATCTGCATTTCATTTCTTAATTGAGGATAAGGATTCCTAATAGATGTTCATGGGCCACAGCTGTACCCCGACCACGAACATTTTGCTCTATAGTACAGTTTACGAGACAGTTTAGTTTAAAATTTTGTATGGGAATTTGAACAGCGCTCCGTGAGCGTATTTGGAACTAAAATTTGGAATCACGAACATCTAACGCTGCGTTATGAATAGCTATCGTTTGTAAGTAATCGTAAGACGCAAAATGTGTGGATTTTGGCAGCACGAATCTATTTTTGACGTACATTATCGTCTATCCACTGTAGAGAACTACGAAATTGTTCTCACCGACATTTTTACAGCGAGAAACGATATCGAGAAGTCTTAGTTTTAAGTTTCTCTGGGTTTTTCGTTGATGTAAGTTTAAAATATTTTTATTTAGAATAAATAGAATGAGATCCACGACTTTTTATTTTGCGTGGCGTTTGGCAGTCGAGGAAAGAAGCCAAAGACGAGAATTAAGGTACATACATTCTGTGTACTAAATATCGGGAATTTGTCAATAAAACAAAAAATACAAATTATTCATCTAAATTTATTTTATCGCCTTCAAAGTAGGCCCCATCGCTTGCAATACAACATCTCCAACGCTTCACCCAGTCTTCCATACATTTTTCATAGGCTATTTGCGGTATGGCCTTTAAAGTCCGGCCGCTGAGTTATTACCGATTTGACACATGACGAATTGACAATACTAGTGAAGTGACTGAACCAGTAACCCTAATATCATTTGGGAACAGTTTGTTTTTAAATATTCTAGTATAGTGTGTAATTAAATAAAATCAAAACAATAATAGTTAAAGACACAGGTTCTTTATTAGGTGGAGTATCCTTGATGGGCGTAGATAATTGGTCGAGGACATATCAAAATAAAACAAATTTGTAAACACTGTTACACATTTTAATGAATAGAGTAGGTACAAGATGTTTTAATAAATGACTACCTATCATTTATTAAAACAATTATTCAGACTCTTCACCAGGTTCGCCAGAGCTGTCATCGCTATCAGTCACTTGTACGACAATTTCATTCTCTATAATGGTGTCCACTTTTATATCGCGTTCATAATCTTCTGTTATTAGTTTTCGAGTCTTTTCGACGACCTTGACCCAATCTTCTTTCGTTATTTTGCTGCAAGCATCTTTTAATAGACCCATCATTTTATTAGTACTGAATGGCAGAGTCGTATTATTACGAGCTGCGTAACCTGTAATGTAAACATTAAATAACGTTAATTTATTACATTAAATAAACGAAATGTTACACAATTACCTACATGTAAGGGACATGAGATATTTATTTGTTAGTTATGTATCTTTTTACTTATATGCTGAATATTGGATGTTATAATAGTACAAATTATTCATATTCATAACTTATGCGATAAAAAACAATACCTTTGATTTGTGCCCATATTAGCTCAATGGCATTGTACTGGCAGTGATAAGGCGGAATTCGAAGTACCCGATGTCCATGTACTAGAACTATCTCATCTACTTCACAACGGACTCTTGATGTTTTATTTTCGCGTACCAACTTTACTAAGTCAGACTTTAGCATTTCGGCAGTAGTTTCAATTCCATTTTGGTGTAGCCATGCTACGAGATCAGCTTTCTTGTCGGCCTGAGTAGGCGCTTTATTCACTTGTTTCGAGTGATATGAAGCGTTGTCCATTATTATGATAGAAGGCTCTGGCAGGCTGGGTAATAATTGATTTTCGAACCAATTCGTAAAAGTGTCTGTATCCATCTCCTCGTGGTAAACGGAAGTACTTTTTGACGCGAAAGCCAGCAGTCCATTTTCAAAGAAACCACTTCCAGCAGAACCGGCGTGACAAATTATCAGTCGCGATCCTTTTCCAATTGGAACCTTTGAGGTTGATGCTTTTATTTCGTCAGTCCAAGAGCGTGACACAGTGTGGTTCGCATTTAACCATGTTTCGTCAACAAAAACGACGTTGTCCCAAGACTCGATTTTTCTGGCTTCTCTTAAAAACTCGCTCCTTTTAATTATTAAATCAAATCTTTCCATTAATATTTTCCTTTTATTCGTTTTTTTTATATTCAAACCCAATTTCGTGCAATAGTTTTGACAACGCCGTTTTACCGCCTTTAAACAAGCCAGCTTCTTTTAAAGAGACCAAAAGCAAACGTCTAGTTGGAAACTCGTTCCTAGTATAATAACCATATATGTGGTTTCTTATTGCATCTGCATCAAAAACATCAACACCTGTCACGGGCTTTTGTCTTCGTTTTTTCTTAGGAGTGCGTAAAACATTATCTTCACTTCCAGAAGCACCAAATTTTTCTTTATTTATATTATATAGTGTTTTTGCACCAATTCCAAGAGCTTGTGAAACCCGATCTTTCACTTGAGTGACAGGAATCAAAGGGCCGCCATTTTGTGACTCACGCTCAAAGTAATCCTGTAGCTTTAGTACAAGCTCACGACATTGACTATTCAATGTTTTTCCTCGTTTCGGCATTTTCAACAAAATTACCAAACACAAACAAAATTAGTCCAATAAAGCGCAACGATAAACAGGAGAAAGCCGAGTCAAAAAACAACGGTTACACAAGAGAACGTAGTCTGTGCGCACGAGAGTACGGAAGACGACTAAACAGATTAAA